TGGAGGAGGCTATTTGCCTGGGTAACTGAGGATGAAAGCAAAGAACACTAATTCATTAGTCAGCTGTGGTGTTGGCCTGATAAAAGAGGGCTGAAGCAGTGAGAAGGTAGAATGGGTTTACATTGGTGAAATGTGCAGAACTCAAGAACAGCAGATTGAACAAGCGGTATTTTCTACAAACAAAGTCCAAGGAATAGACTCATTTAACTACATATACTAGAGGCATAATTTTACATCACAGTTGTTGGCACTTTCATAACAAAATTTTTCTCCTATTACAGCCTTACCTAATGCAGTTATGGCAAAAATTCTTTCAGTGATATTCTCAAAAATATGAATGAAAATAAGCTATATTGTCAGCATAAGATAAAGTTTAAAATGCTAGACAAGCTTATGAAGACAACTATAATCACAGAATGACTGTCAATTTATTTACAAGAAATGTTATCAAACATCATTATCCTTTTGGCTTGAGAAAGTTAGTATACTTGCTATTATCTGTTGATTGTCTGGGAATCTTTCACTTTGCATAAATGTTCAAGGATTAGAACATGGCAAATCAATCAAGGAAATTACTATTATTATAGTCTTTGAACATTAAATACCTCTCCCATAAAAACAATGTAACATCAAGAATTCTATGAAGAATTTGTGTCCAGACTGTTCTTAATATTCTGAAACAGCATTTGATCACCTGATGAGTATGATCTTATGTTTATTTCCATATTTTCCCATTCCACATAACACATTTTGTGGTTTATACTGTTCTCACAAGTAATTTTTTTTTTTTTTAGTAGCCTATGGTCAGGGTCAAATAAGATGTCAATGGCAGTTTACTAAATAACTAACATGGAAAGCAAAACAGTGACTGCCTACATTTGCACCATTGAATGAAATTCTGGGGAACATTCTCTGAATTTTTGGTTCCATCTGAAATCCACATTCTTTGCTTTCATCATTGAATAAATCTACATCTATGTTGTTTTGAACCATTACAAGTTTGCTTAATTGAGAATTTTAAACTTAAGTTTATATTATTTCTGATGTAAACATTCAGCTTATGAGAATTCTTTTGGTTCCTTTATTCTTTTTCATTTGTTACATTCTCAGTTTTGTGCTCATGACTTATGATGCTATTCCATGATCAATAATAAATTAAAGAGAAAAAAAAAGATGGTATGAACTAGTTCCCAAAGTACTGTTTATTTAGAGCGGAATCTCTGAAACTGTAATACTTTCAGAAAACCTGGGTTCATTTAAGGTTTTGGGATGCTGTAATATTTGACTCGGTTACATTAATGTTTTGACCGTTTATGTTAAAATGTGTATCAGAACACCAAGGTTTGAAGAATAACATTAAAAAAAGTTAATATTGTTGAAAGAAATTTCTCCTTCATTTTAAATCTCCACCAAAATGTCCAAGTTTTCAAATTACCTTTGTAAATTTTATTACTGTGATCTCTCAGTTTAGAAATGGACTTTTAATCTTACAAGATCAAAAGAGAAAAAGTAAAGCAGTAATTAAATTCTACAATATATTAAAAGATGATTAAATTGACAAAGTTTAAATGAAAAAAAACACAGAAGTATAGAAATATTTAACTTTACAATTTGCTTTGCTATAAAAAAAAAAAAACTCAACAAATTTTGTATGAACAAATATTTTTTTATGGTTGGGAATTTTAATTAAATCAACCACTGATAAAAAAAAAATTATAAGCCTTTAATTGGACAAAATAAAGTTAGACTCAATGTTGAACATTTATTTAATAATTTTGCCCTGAGCATCAGGGCTGCAGCTCCTTTTGATCATCCCCCACTCCAATGTGAAATGCCTTGCCTGTAATTGGTTAACAAAAAGAAAATTTTCAACTTGCAAATGAGATAATGTCTTCATTGAAGGGAAATTTCATAGCTATTCACTGTAAAACTTAGTAAATATTGTTACACTTACAAAAATATAAAAAAATACACACAGCATCAATAACAGAAAGGAAATGTTCACAATAAAAATACATAACCAGAATGACTTCAACCATATAATAAAGAACAAAAGCCTAAAATGTGAAGAGTTTACTTTTTCTTTATGTAGATAAGGCAAAAACCTTGGTACAAATATTCTAAGAAACCAAGTAATCTGCAAATGTTGCCAAGTTTTGGATTATCTATCAACCCCCTGTTCCCAGTGACACACAAGAGTGAGTGAACTGCATTATTTCCAACAGACATGCTACTTCTGAAAGTCATTGCATGACTAGGAGATATAAAAATAAAATGTTATTGATACTGGTTCTAGTATTTCAATATTACTTTTTACTCTTGTGAATGGAATTGTCAAGAAACCAACTCCTATATCAATCTCATTTGATAAAATGTCAAGGGCAAGCAAATCTGGAAATTGAAATTCCTTGTTTAAGAACTTCCCAATAGACTTTCATGGTTGTTGATGTCGTTAATCCTTCATTGAGATTTTATTTATTTTGTTAACAGCTTTGATTTAAGCAAACTGTAAAAATAAAATTATTCAAGATAATTTCATAAAAAGGAAACTTAATTTAAATATAACTACATCATTGATGAATCTAATTGTTAACATAACCTTCTCCAAAATCGTGAGTGAATTAATAAAAAAAAGTATTACATCACCTCATAGAAACAGGAATGAAAAATACTGAAGTTTATCACAATAGATACAGGAAGTTATACTAAAGTTTTTGTTAAAACTAGAATTGCTGCAGAGAAATCCAAAGTGGCAAAGGAGGGATTTAACAGACTTCAGAATTCCAGAGTAATGTCTCCTCAAAGTGAATCGGCAAATCCTCTCAATCTTATTTCAAAATCTGACTGTAGTTGCAAATGCTGTAGTGGTTAATAATGATTTGAACCATATAACAAAAAATGTGATCTATATTCTATAACAGATATCAACATCAAATTTACATCTAAATTTGCCAATAAATGCTGTTTTTCAAAAATAGACCTTCTTATCATTGGATACATTTTGTGCCTAATTCAGCAATGTCAACATGTTTTGGGACTTTTTGATTGTAAATATATGCCCTTTGGATTAAAGACAAAATGCAGCAACAACATTTCAATGCTTTATAAACAAAATATTTTCTAATGAGGACTGTGTTTGTATAATTAGAAATATTTGTATTGATAATAAAAAAGCACATAAAAATGATTTTGACAATGTTTAGAATTTTAGATAAAAAACTTCTAAAAATTCTTAGAATTTAAACATTTTTGGTTATAATGTGAGTGCAGAATGACTATTACCAACAAATAAGGTTAACAAATTGAAATTTCTATACTCAAAATATCCTAACAATTTACAGATTTTTTTTAGATATGATTAAATTATTACTGAAATTAAATTAGTTGCTAATTGTCCCAATAAAACCTACAATATATACACTGCATAATTAAGGGTGTAATTCTTTGAATTCCCTTTATCTTCAATGGGATAAAAATAAATATATATTCAGATTCAGGTTATCTGCTAGGCAGCAAGCCTTCCATTACACAACAGAGCAGGTTTTTTGTTACTAATCCTATTCAGTCATATTTCTTTTGTGTGGGCACAATGATAAATGTCCTTTTCAAAGGAGTAAATCTCTGCTGCATTAATATTTTCCAGCCACACAAAGTTTCTCCCACTTTGTAGTATTATAAGGCTAACTTACCCAGAGCCCTGGCTTTAACATAATCAAACATGTGTAGAGAGAATTGAAAACTGGTGTGTATAATAGAAAACACTAAAACTTACAGGATCATATAAATACTGATTATTAGTTTTAATATCCTTGACACTATATAATAAATGTGAATGTCAGTGTGTCACACTTCTTTAATTTTACTTCTAGAGGTCATAGCCCAACATATCATATTTTGGAATCGGGCTGACTATTTAAGCAAATTAAAAATATTCTGGGCTGGATCCATACCCGCAATCCTGAAATTTTGGATTTCCTAGTTTTCATTACTGTGATTATTTTTAGCAGTTTTTTTTTTTTTTTTTTTTTTTTTTTGTGACAAATTTTTTGTATGATAACAATTTTTATAACTTGGAAATAAATTTGGGAATAATTAAAATTAATTGTGAAATCCAGCGAAAGTCACCCATGAAATAAAAATAATTGTACAGAAAATAAGGACCTACATACATTAAATTGTCTTTAAATTAAGTGGCAACAGAAGAATTATTGCTGAACCTTTTAAAAGGTAAGCTTAGATATTAATGCAATACTTAAAAGCAGGAATCATTTTTGACTTCCTGTAGTTTATTGTTGCCTATTATGTCTTCTACTCCCTATCTATTGTGATGAAGGGCCAATCAAGAGCCCTCTGCAGGAGTTAGGTGACTTTTAAGCTAGTATATAAATAAATTTGATGTTACTTTTCCCCTAGCAGCTTATAATTTTTGCATACCCTATTTTTAGCATCATCATTTATTCAAATTTTTATCTCTTTTTACTTTGTCAATGTGAATGTAACAATTTGCAACTTGTCTTAATGATTCCAAATACTAGTCATGTATATCATCAAATGAAGCTTCTTATTAAAAAAAATAATAAACAGATTGATTTTTCAGCTAAGTGGTTCATTTCATCTGCTCACTAATGTAAATCATCTATATATATATATATATATATATATATATATATATATATATATATATATATATATATAAAAATATCTTTTGTGTGTAATATATCTTCCTTCACATAGTTATATACATAAATGTGTCTTTTTGTGAACTGCACCAATTTTAGTTACTTGACATGGTTACTGAATATGTAATAATGATAGAACTCACTAATAGACCTTTAAGGACAATTTAGTAACTAATGTATAGCAAGTACTTTTTATATCAGATGAGATATATGAGAGAGATGATGTAGATGATATGATATGTGGTATTCATTGACATAATAATCCATTAATCATTTGTTTGTTACTTGTATGAATATATTTATTTTATTCTCTCATTGCAGAGGACATCAACGGAATCACTCTTGAGGTGCCCCCAATCAAGAAATCCTCCTCCTTAGGTGGAAGCTTGAAAAAACTATTCCGGAGAGGACGCAAGAGAACCAGAGATGTTGGGGAGACGTCTCGTGAAAGCTCACTGTCTCGATCATCAATGCGCTATCCAGTATCATCACGAGAGGGTTCAATAGATTCAAGGCGCACACCACAGGCTCATTCACCTGTCTCATAAACAAAGAAAAAAAAAGTTAAAGGCAGCATTTTTTTTTTTTTGTTAGTGCCATGCTGTCTATCATCAATAATTCTCATTACTCCAGTGAGGCATTTTATATATATATATATTTTTTCCTACTTTTTATTGGTCAGTATTTCTGCCAATCAGAATGCTACAACAATCATAATGCTGTTACTGCTCTTACTATTGCTATGAAAGCCATCAGATAGCTATTCAATGCAATGAAAACTGCTAACTGATGATAAGATTTGCTTAAGAGTAAGATATTGTTGTGGGTAGGGTTTATATGTGCATAAAACTGTAATGTGCTAATAGAGGTGGTAATAAGCAAATAATTTACCCTTTCCTTGATTTGTTTTATGCATATCTGTTAATAAATATTACAAATTTTCTAGATCAGTTATTATAGTTACTTTAATTTTGTCAAGTCCTTTCCAACATGTTAATAATGCTGTTATCATTTCCTTCCAAAAAGCATCAGGTTAAAAAAACTGCTACAATATTGTTAAATCCAAAACACGGTTTGGACTGAAAAAGATTGTAAAATACTCAGTTGAAATCTGAGAATTTAAAGGTAAAAAAATTGAGAAAATTTTGACATACTGCATAGCAAAATAATGAAAAATAATCTGAATGAACAAATTATCAAAATGCTAAATGATGAAATTTTCAACAAAATAGATCTCACTCTTTCAAAACAAAATTAAAACCAAAAGTGAACAAAAACTAAATTTTACAAAATGTTACTCTAAGCAAACTCATGTCTTTTCATTCTGAAAGCTTCTCTGCTTTGCAGAGACCCTCAGGAATGTCATGTATTGTAAAATTTATGAAATAATTTAAACTTTCCTTCAGAGGTCAATATCTAATTTTGATTTCATTATTTCTCTTAAACTTTGTTTTTCTTTCTCCCCTATCATCATTTTAACTTCTGAATTTCCCAGGGCCAACATACCAACTTTTGAATATGTGTATCATTAGCCCTACTAAAAAAAAAAAAAAAAAAAAAAAAAAAAAACGAAAAAATGATATAGTATAAAAACGAAGAAAAAAAAATACAGCTGTCAAAGCCAGTGTAACAAGGGAGATAACTCTGACCCTTTTTCTTGTTTAGTCAGTGTGATAGGGTCACTATATTTAGTAGGGGGCAAAAATACTGTGTACAATTGGCTATACACTACTAAAAATAGTAGATAACATAATAATTATTTGCATTTAATAATCTTTTATATTTTACTAACATATATATATATATATATATATATATATTTATTAATATTTCAATTTTTTAATGTCTTACATCAACATTCTCATAAAAAATAAAACTACTGAAATTTTTTTGCTTATATTTTTAATTAGAATCATTTGGATTTAATTTTTTCTATTTACTTAAAAGCTTTTTAGTAACACATTTTCTATTAAAAATGATTTTGTCCCTCTTCTGAACCTGAAAAAAATAAAATCTAAATGATACAATTGATAGGTTCTTGTGAAAAATTTGTGATATTGTTATTAACTTAAAGGTGCTGTATCATAAAAAATCTGTTATTTAGAAACAAAATATTTAATTTAAAGAAAAATATAACAAAGTTACCAAAACACTGGTTTATTTATGTATTTTATAATTGACTTTTTTCTTTCTCTCTTTCATTCATACATTTACACAACTGAGAAATCTTTTTAAATTCTAACAAGTGTTATTGTATTGATAATGTATCAATTTACATATAGGGGATTATGAAGAACTTATTATAATCTGTAAACTTTCTTTTAGTATGTTTTAAAAATTCCTTAAGTAGACAAACTCAGACCCATATGATTAGTCAAAATATAATAACTTGTTCACTTGGTTAATAAGTTTGTTCTAGTTGGTAAAATCAATTTAGGCTTGATCCTAAGGCACTTTAAAAATCCCAGTTTCCATTGTGACAAAATTGGGGTGATACTCAAGTGGCATACATTTCCACTTTGTTAATATCAAAGTTGTGGTGATGCAATAACACTTATAGTTCAGGGTGAATTGCAGTTTTTCAGACCTTTCAATTAAAAAAATATCTTAAGTACACATAATATTTACAATAGTACAAATACAAAGAGGTATAAATATATCTGCAGTTTAAGACATGACTAATCAATAAAAATGATTTTCATCAGTTAACTCAAGTTTGGGCCTTTTTTTTAACTTGTTTTATTTATTTATATTTTAATGACATTGGTTTATGTATAAACTCAAATGAAAATAATGAAATGAAAAATTAAATTTGGTATTTTATTGCCATTATTCTGTGATTACTTTTTTCTTGGTAGTATTTTATACATTATTAAAGCAAAGTAGAAGGAATTATTTATTTAAAGATTAATTGCTGTTGATGAATTTTAAAGGTGAACTGTTAACTAAATATTGTAATCTTAAGTAAATTGCTTAAGATTATTTATAATTTTTTTTTCTATTAACAATAATAATTGGTCAGTTTGTATCTATGCAACTGTTACTTTAAAAAAGAAGATAATCAGATTTAAGAATCATTATTTGGATTTTAAATGACAAACTCCACCACATCCTGCCCCACCCAAATATCTTGACATAATATAATTATTAATTATATATAAGTAATTTCTTTGTTGATCCTAAAATAGTAAAAAAAATATGCATCTATTTATTCAATGTTAAACTCTCATCTGATAATCTTCAATAACAATATATTATTTTGCTGTGTGAATTTGATGAATACTTAGTGCTTTAATAGGTAAACCTCTGCTTTTAATTATTAGTATAAAAAGTAAATTAAATGTGAGAATTTACTGTAATAATTGCATGAAAATGTATTGAACAAGATGATTATTTTGACCATGCACTTTATGCTATAGAAGCTTATTTGCATATAGATTCAAGCAATGGCAGTTAATTGCCACAATCATTTTACATAAATGCATTTCATGGTTATGTTTAATTGAACAAGGGTGAATGACAAAAATAAAATGAATCTTATCTATCCTTCTTCCATCTGAAATGCTTAACAAAACATCTGCCAAAGAATTTCCATTTCTATTGTTTTTTTCTCTCAATTCAAGAAACATAAGAAATGATTTATGTCACAAAGATACAGATACAATTAAAAATCTTTCTTGATATTTAAGGTAATGCTTAACACATAATTTCCTAACCAGCTTGTGATATATAGATTATAAATTCATTGACTTTTCTGCCAATCCTTGGACCAAAACCTGAACACACAGCAACAAAACATTACAGTCTATCTTCATTTCCTTTATATCTAAAATGGATAGTTTTTTTTAATTTTTTTTAACATTAACATTTAAATTACAGCATATCAAAATATTTAATTTTCAAAATAATTGAACCATTTTAAAATTAATGTTAGCTAATGAATTCTGTTTAGCTATTTATTTTTCACAGAATTTTATCAATGAAAGAATTGGATGTTTCTTTTTTTTTATATAAACTAGGAACACAAAATAAATTTTGATATTCATAAAACAAATATTTTATAACTTCATCCCTGTTATATTTTAATGTTTTTGCTTTGTCTTTGACATATATTTTATAGTGCATATTGTATAATGATGAACTTGCTTTATAGTTAAAAGGTTTTAAAAGACCAAATAAAAATAATTGCCATTTCCAGAAAAAATAAATCATGTCTTAAACTTAAAATGTTACAGTTTTTCACATGAATAAACAATGATTTTATCTGATTTCACAAGAACATTTTCAAACTTAGGATTTCTAAAAGTTTGTAGATATCATATGATAAGCTTAAGGTCTGTACCTAAACAACCTCAGTTTCAAAAACATAAGAAACTAAGAATTGTTCTATAAATTTTATTCAATGTAAAATAAATAGCATATAATATTTCAGAGATTATTAATTTAATCTTTATTATGCATTTATGTCTTCTTTGAGTAAAATGAATTAGCATGTTAAACAAAAGAAATTATTGCATGTCTACATTTGTACTAGAGACTTGCCAGTAAAAACTTGTGAATCAAATACAGCTAACTCTTAATGTCACAAATGAAATCTTAATTTGTTGTTTTTCTGAAAATAAAGTGAAAAGTTTCGTACTTATAACATTTTGATTACAGAACAGTCACTAATCAACCATACTTCATTCTTATTTTTGTGAATCAAATATGGTGGAAATTTTAAGTTTTAAAGGCAAATTATAAAAGACAGAAGAAAATTAAAGAAACAAAAGAATATTTAATTAGTGAAAAATGAAAGAAAAGTTAACTGAAAAAAATCATGAAATTTTTTGTTTTGCTTGATTATTCACTTTGTTACTCTGAAATCCTTCAAGATTTAACTTTTTTTATTTTTTTTTAAATATAACTGTTTAGATATTTCTCTTGTTAATCTTAAAAACTAGTTATAGACTCAGTTAATATATTAGAAAAGATATTAATTTATTGTATCATTGGTTTTAAATTCTTAAGTTATTTAAATCATTGCTAAGAGATATATATATATATATATATATATATATATATATATATATATATATATATATATACTTCCTTGTTATTTTTTCTTCAAATTTTAATGAGAAAATCTCAGGTTATTGTTCAGTTTTAATTTTACTGCTTTCTGCAAGCCGGTGACAAAGTGGTGAGTTTAAAATGTTTTTGAACTATTGAAATTAAATTGTTAAAGATTTATTATGCATGTTTTTTTCACCCCTTATAAGAGTTGTATGATGTAAGAAGTAATCAGTGTTCAAAAGTTACTATATTACAAATTTGCTTTACTAAGAAAATCAGTAGTATTACTATTAATAATTATCAAATACCTATAATCCAAATTTATAATTAATAATTCAAGTTTGAAAATTTTAATATTTATGTACTACTTTTGAGTTGCTATTGACAAAAGTTTGAGAGGTTATCCACTTTCATTTAATTTATACCCCTTTAAATTATTTAAATTGAATTTTCATTATATACTGTGATTTTAGCCCAAATTTTAATTTAGCTA